TTCTGACTTGTTTTTCTTCCTAGAATGTAAATTCTAGGAAGGTAGGAATTTCAAAAATTTTTGTCTGTTTTGTTCATTGTTACATTCTCAGTACCTAGAACACAGCATGGAACATAATGGGTATTCAATAAATACTTGTTGAATAAATGATGAGTAAAATGAACGTACAACTTTGACTTTCTGGAATTACTGAGGAATTGCAAGACAGCTGACCATTTATTTTAAAGATGCCAAGGTAGATTTTAAAATTAATATTTCATTATTTGTCCTAGATATTATCTACAGGAATTTGAAAGTTAGTGTCTATACTCTACTTGTAAACATTGTTTTTAGAATTATTTTAAAAAATAATCTGTCAGTTGTAGGAGAATAAAAAATATGATAAGAAATACAACATAACTTTCCAAATTTAATGGTCTCAACTTTTCAACAGCGTATTACTCTAACACATTATCTGCATTAAATTATTTCACGTAAATATTATAAAAGATCAAAATCCTTAAATTTCAATCCTGATGTGATAGAACCTTGGTGTAGGAGGGAGTGTTAAATAGTGTTGCCATTCTCATGTTGTACAACCAAAGTTGCAGCAAACAAAACAATAACTATGGTGCGTTAAATTGCATACTTTGTAGAACAAGTGATTCTTCATTAAATACAACATTCTAGAACTTGAATTTATAGCTCAGCCTTTAAAGGATGTTATTAGAAGCCCTATATGCAAGATGTGGGTACTATAAGGACTTCTGTTTCTTACTCTGTGAAAATGTGGAAGTTGGACTATAAGGAGTGGAGTATCTCTGACATCCAATATTCCTTAATTCAATGGATCGGTATAGAAGTGAGGGATAGAAGATAGATTACTTTATTTCTAGAATGTGAGGATATACTTCATAGGTCCTAGTCTAATGGATTTATCCAAATCAATTTTTTTTAAAAAGATGCTGGGGCAACACTGACTGGGAAGGTAATAGATTGACAAATTCTATAAGATTCTTTATATAAAAGAGAAGTACTGTTCTCTTCTTGAACAGGAGTGACTTGCTTGAAGATGCCACCATCTTTTTTAGTCCACCTGACCTCACATGACTGACTGCTCCATTAATGAAGGAGAAGCATATAATTTACAAGGTGATCAATCAAATCCACAGACATGGCCTTGCAGAGATCATGATCTACCTAATAACCATCCTATCCAACAACTATAAATGGAAAGAGCCTTTGTGAAACCACCTCACCAGTAACTTTCAACTATGACAAGGGTACAAAAATTGTGATTTGTGTACTAGTCTTCATAAGGCTTGATGGAGAAAAAAAAAGAAACTTGTTAAAGAATGTAAAAGTATTCCACATAAACCAAAGCACCTATAAAAAAGCTGATGCATTGAGAGAAAAGGTAAGAAGTATCATTCACTGAGTTCCTGCCTAATTTTTTTATGCCACGCATTTAGAGAAATTGTTTATTTTCCTACTTTTGTTTAAATCAAGCAGCTGTGTTCTTCAAAAGCTAACACTACTTATTCTAAAATTTAGATTGAGATTTAATGTAGAATAGGGAGCTAACTATATTGAAATAGTTTTAAATTAATACACTTACTAAGACAGTCTTACCCGAGCCTTGAGTTAAATTAACCCAGGTCACTATTTACAGTGAATCTAAGATCGTGTTATGTTCTTTCCAGTAGAATGAATTTGCATTTCAGCTGAAAAGATTAACTTTATTGCTTTCTGTAAAGCTCCTCATGTTTTCAGCTCTTTTATCTATTCCATTAGGCATTGATTTGCCTCACTGAACTGAGCCACAAAGTTAAGGCTCTCTTCCAATACAAAATTGGACCTTTAATAGAAGTGACGATCACTGTGAGCATACAACCTATACATACAGAAGAGCAATAAATGCTCACACTGAGGCAAATAATAAGGCTTCCCAACTTGGAAAGTTGTTGAACTTCCAAGACAGATATATTTTTTATTATATATTTCCCTTCCCAATTCTTAATGACTGCACAAACAGCAGTAACATAGCTTTTAAAATTAAATCATTTACATACAATCTAACCACTCCAGATTTTATAACAATAGAGCCTGTGTGGAAGAATTAGAGTTACCTCTATAAATTTGCTCCCTCATTTATTAATAAGAATTGTGTGACTATTTTTCTCAAGATCTACAGACTGCCTATCTCCATTACAAAACTTGCCTCCTATAAAAAGTTCTGCTATTGCCCTGTCCTCTTCATTGATTCTGAGTTGACCACTGTCCATTCCAACATCCTAGGATTATCCAATTTATAATTGGGAATGACATGCCAGTAGCTTCAATTTTCCCAACAGAGTGAGTTATGGATCCTCAATCAGAGAATAAGGGTCTTTAGCATATCATCTTCATGATTTCTAAGAAGCTTTAACATAAAAATTTTGTCAAAACCTGCAGTTTAACATGTACAGAAAAAGAATCTCTCCTCATTCCTTGTGCTTGAGGCTTTTAAGGGGATAATGTTAAAGTGTTAAGTGATATATTTTTCCTACAAAGACAGTTCAACTGCAGTGCACCTCAACTTCCCAATTCATTTCCTCCTCCAATTTAAATGGATTATCCCATCTGTCACAAAATAGAAGGCAAATATCTTCCTTCCATCTGTTTCTTATGTTGGTGAGGAAATACCTCCTGGTTCTCTAACAAAAGTCACTTCATAACTCCACTGTTGTGGATTTTTTCCAAGTCATCTCCAGCTGAGATAGGATAATTTTGCAGCAGGTTTAACACTCGCCTTATGAAAGAAGAGATGTTCTTCAAGTGACACTGTGAATTTAAGGCTGTTTCTGTTCAGTAATTTTTGCATCATATGTCTTTACTAGTCATTAATTACCACAATCTCTAAGGCAGTTTTAGTTGAGTTCAAAAGAATAAGGTATCTTTATGTCAGTTTTATGAATTACTAAGTAGAGCAGAAGTCAACTGAAATTAGACATTAAAAAATTCACAGATAAGGTACAAGAAGCAGAAAGAAAAAGAAGTATTCCTATTTTTTGGCTTGGTTTAACCTTAGTGATTCTGGCAAAGCTGAGGTTAAAACCATTCTTCACGCCTCTCTACCTTAAGGAGTCATTTGAATAAGATCATATATTGTAGAATTTTCATGTCAAATTATACCCATAATTATTCCATCTTAGTTCAATTTTCTTTTTAGTTTCAAGAAAATATCTTAAGAGATAAATTATATTCCCTTGTGATTCTAAGAAGAAACATATTCTTTTCAGTATCAATATTTTCTGGAATATAAGCCAGTAAACCCCACATTTAAATATGGAAAATACTGCATACAAGGACATTTATAGAAGAGAACTGATTTTAAATATACATAATAGTTGCACCATTTTAAGAGGTATCTCACCAAAAGCTAAAATGATAAACTTTCAAATTGGCACTAAATTGATTTTATTCAACTTAGTCTATTATTTATGTATAAATATAAAACAATATAGCATTTGGATATTTCCAAAAGGCCCCAAATATTTCATTCTCTTGGATGTGCAAAACTCTGAGGAATGCAAGAATAGTATGAGATTTATGAAATTACAGGATCAAATTTGGCAGAATTCATGTTTCGTTTTGTTTTGCTTAAAAAGATTTCGTGTAGCTCATATTTTAATAACATCTTTTTATGAAAAAGCATTTGTCTATGACTTTATTATTATCGAATGTTATAGTCATTCTACAAAGGGCATATGGAGCACCACCCCACCTTCTGCTTCCCCCAGTTCCTTTGGTGGATTTTTTGTAACTCCTTGGGCTTTCTTGAACAGAATCACAATGAGACAGCAAGTAAGTTTGCTGCTAAAGGAAGAAGCAACGCTGAATTTTTGTTTCAGCAGTGAGTAGGAATCCTTGATCGCTTCACATTTTGGCAAGATCTTTCTTCTAACCCTGCCTGAAAATACATTTTCTTTGGCATGAAAGAGGGACACCAAAAATCAGTGGCAGAAAATACAAGACAGACAAGAAAGAGTGGCAGAAAAGAACACTGACGTTGAAAGAAGTCTTTTGGGAATGTCGAGAGGGCATCACAAGTTTGTTAATGTACAAAGGAAATAATTTCTTTCTTCTTTCTCTCAAGGATGGGTGTTTTATCTCTTTAGTGACAAGCAAAGCCAAACTATTCCATAGGCAGATCAAAATCACAAAGGAAATACTAAATGATATTTGTATTATCTCCTTCCAGGCTAATTGCTTCATCTAAACACAGTGTAAAAGCAAGGTTGAGGTCAAGGCAAAACTCAAAGGCCCCTGGTTGGCAAAAAAATGTGAATGTTTGTACTGGAGCTGAAGTTAAAAGTTAATAGGTAGAGCTTTACTAATAACCCTCTTCAATACAATTAATCTTAAAGAGAAGTTCTAATCCAATAATCTCATTCATCGGAACTATACAGAACTATCTATTATCAACATGAATGTCCACCCTTTGCAATTTTTAAGCATGAGCAGCCAGAGAAGAAATGTGGTGAACCATGCTGATTTGGGAGTGAACATGGGGAAATGGTAGAAGATGTCATAGGAAATCATTGAAGAAGGAAGGAGATAAAAGCAAAATCACTAAAAGATCATCAAATGAGGTCACAGTCAGGATCTAAACTAGAACACTCAAATTCATATCAGAAATATAATTTTAATCTCTTATGTTAAAGTCCACAGGGCAATAGATACATTCAGGAAAGATTGGCTAGGCAATCAATGGAAAGATTCTCCTGTATGGTGAAATCAATTTTTACCCGATAATAACCAGAAGGAAAAGACATGTCATGTTATTTGCATTATATTTTATAAGCCAGCTTTCTCGGACGAGGTCCAAACTCTTGACAAGGAATCATAACCAGTAACTTTTTAACACCTCCATCCCCCTTCCACTGTAAGAACTGTTCCTTTATAGTATGAGGAGGGCATTCTAATCATTAGTGGGATTTTACTTCTGGCAGCAAGTATGTTGTTCATGTGATTCTTACCTGCCCCCCTTTAGGCTGGTATTTGATGTTGTCTGTCGATCCGATTTTGGATTTGACATTCTTCAGGTCTGGCAGTGGTTGGTTAATAAGCCGAAGTTGCTTGGGAGTAGCGGGAGATTTTGGAGGCGTACGTATGATGGCAACTTTCTTCTCGCTGGGCACCAAGATGGCCGATTTGGGGGTTCCTGGTGTGTGAGGGGTCCTGGGATAGCTCGGGGTTCCAGGAGTGCCTGGGGTGCGTGAGGAGTAGCTTGGTGGGGTGCCAGGAGTGATGGCGGTTGATCCAGGGGTAGTGGGTGTGGAAGTGCCACTCTTTCCTGCTCTACGAATTGGCTCTGACCCTATATAAATGAACAAAACCAAACCAAACCAAAACCACAGCATCAGAAAATTCTCGAGACATCCTCTTCCCTCAGGTTGTTAGAACTCATAATACATGAACTTTCTAAAGAGTTTGGAATATTTGTGGATTACAACAATGCTCAAAAAGGCAAAAGTTCCTTTTTTTAGGCTTACAAGCTGGTGACATTTTTTTGAACATGCATTGCTATCAATGCAAAGAAAGAACTTGGGTTTTCTTGATTTATTCTTCTTACTTCTCATTATGAAGGCGTCAGAAGTTCTTTATACTTGTGTGGTCATTAAGGCATGCGGATCTGCCCTAAGTTGGTAGAAGAGTCTGCGCTTCATATTCTATGTGGGGTAGTATTTACTAAAGATTTCCTTGAATGATGTGTGGATCTCTTGCTCTTTTGTGCAGTAAGTTCATTCCAAGATTCAGGTAGACATACAACATAAGACTGTGTACTGATAGCAAGAATTTTGGCCTGTGTACAAAGTCATTTATTGAATTGTGATTCAATGTTACTCCTTCAGCTTATATTGAGGAATGCTGTGAGTTGAAAATCTGTTTACTAAAAGCTGTGCAATTATGTCAGACATTGTTCTACAGTATCATGTATTTCCTTTATATGGAAATTTGTCTCAGCTCTTAATACCAAAAAATATCTATTTCTCTTCTTAGAAAAATAGGATGTTTTAACAACATAGTCACAGTGAATCTTGTACCTAATTGTTTTCTCTTATACTTTCTTTACTAGTTTGTGGTTTGAAGTCAAGTCAATACTCCCCCCACCCACATACACCTTGATCCCCTACTGTCAATTATACAGGCTATTTTGAGATGCATTTCTTTGCCTCAACTTGACTTTAGGGTCATTTTATTATTTAACTCCTTCCTCCCATTTTCTTATGCCATGTTTCTTTCATATTAACTTTTTAACTGTGTGTTTGAATGCCATTTCAAATACTTTTTTGAAAGCATAATGCTATAGATGAGACTATACCACCTTACAGATTACAAAGCACTTTTGTGAATACCAAACATTTGATGACCAAACAAATACAGTAGTTGGAGACAGCTCTTATTATTCCTAATTTAAGAATGAGGACATTGAGGCTCATCTACCCAGATGATGCTAAATTCTAAGCCAGATATGATATTTAGTTTCTTAGCTCTAAAAATCTTTTTGCTTAAAATAACACATTGATTTTAATAATAGAACACTTATTTACATGGTTTACATTTATTATTCAAATTCCTTCACTTTTTTTGGTGTTTTATAGGAAGGGCATGAATTTTATTTTTTATTACTAAGTATGTATACTTTGTAAAACCAATAAATCTTCTAGAAATTTTGTAGAGGATAAAGGTATAACTCATTAACTTAAATCAATGAAGTGTCATTGAGTCATCTAATACAACTGGTCATCAGTGTGGGAAGTTCTTCCTGAGAAAGGGGATAATTAATCTTTGCTGAAATAATTACAAGCAGCGAGCTCAAAAGAGCTTCATAGATAATTATAATCTACAGGCAATATCTATTTACCCATTGGTCTGGGTTCAGTCTCCTGAAGAAACAGGATCATTTTACTTCTTTCAGTGAACAGTTTTTATGTATCAAGTGAAAGTTGCCCTGTGTCCTTTTGTTTTTTTTAACATAAGGGCAAACGATAGGTAGACTCCTCAACTGACAATATGAAATTGGATATAAGAAGACTATGTGATAAATTAGTGTGCGTTTTTTGATTTTTATCACTTTCCACAAAAAGGACATTTCAAGACCAGGATGATACAGCCACATCCAACGTGGCTCTTTGTGGCTTCCTCGGTACAAAATTTGTTTTTGGACCAAGTTTTTGATGTTCGAGTCAGTCACTGTGTCCTTCAGAAAAATCTCTTCCCAGAAACTTCATTTCTTCCTCAAATGTTTTCTCTATGACTTCATCACCTTTGAATAGCTCAGGTCTTTTTGGGAGAGGATCTTCTCTCTGTTATTTGCCACTGTACCTAGCACTGATGCCTTTTATGAGACCTGAATACAGTAGGAGTTCAACATTCTTTTTTAACAGTACAAATTGGATTCAGAACTTATCAGTGTGTTGAGGTGTTTTTTACTTCACGGAGACTAAGCTGAAGCAATATTCTGCATGTGCATAACAAGTTTCACTAAAAGAAATAACATTTTTTTTAAAGTAAGAGTCATTTCTATACTCGTAGAAAATGGCTTTAAACTTCAGAAAACTAAGGAATGAAGGCTTTGTGTTACATCTGGAGAATGAAGAAAAAACCAAAAGTATTAAGCCCTAACACCACTGTTCAATAGATACAACCAATTTTTAGTGTAATAAATTATATTCTTGTCATCAAAATGACAAATTTGAGCATTTCCTATTCTGAAATTGAAAGAGTTAACTCTGAATTACTAAAACAATTTAAAAAATATTTCTGAAAAATATATATTTACAAATGACTTTATTAAGCTGTAGGTTCTTATTAATCTCATCAACTCCTCAATGACAATGCTTTTCTCTCTACTTGGGTTAACTGCATAGCTTTGTTTCTTTCAGCTTTTCTCAACAGCTGTACAAAATGCCAGGACATGGCTATGTGCAGTTACAGAGATGATGGGTGAATGGGAGGAGGCATATTGCTTGCTCTTCTAGTTGTCCTTATGTTTTTTAGCTATTGCTTTATAGAGAGAAAATAAACCCTATGTCCTGAGATTATCAGAGTATGAATTATGTTCATTACCAAATAATAAAATGCATTAAGCTTATGAATGTAAGTTAGAAAGTCAAAATAGAATTGGTTTAGAAATAAAAACAATTTTAGAATTGGTTTAGAAATAAAAACAATTTATATACAGATGCACTTTAAAAGGCAGACCTCAAACAGTGGTTTGAGGATGTGGATTTATGGATGAAGTGCCATTTTGCTTCCATAACCACAGATAGAAGCATAATTCAAAGTATACCTTTGGGAAGCACTTGGTGCCTTTGATTTATCTAAACAGCTTCTATAATGATGATGCCCAATTCCAAAGTTAAAGCCTTTTCTCAAGAGATTACTATATCTTAAATGCCTTCTTTGCTAGTTCATTTGAATACTTTATTTTTGTTAAGAGTTTAGTGATTTTTTAAAGTATTCCTGGCACATATTTCAAAGAATGTTAATATTTCACGAAACTAAGTGGTGTGTAGGTCACAACTGCTCTAACTATAATAAACACTTTCATTCCAGGCAAAAATATGCTTTAAGTGTCATACAAAATAGTGACATTTTAAGTGGGTCAATTATTGTTAAATATTTTTAAAATAAGGGGTAAAATCAACTATAATGTGGTAGTAGTAGCAATTTCCACCATTTTTAATGGATTTTAAATGACAGAGATGATACTCTCCAAGTGATTCTACATAGCAGTTTTCTAGTACTATTTCTTTCAAATAAATATAAAGAAGACATTAATGTCATGAAGTTATCAGTGGGCTGAAAACCAAATTCAACCACTTTCTATCTTAATAGCATTGGACAAGTTACCCTCTTTTTTCTCATCACTAGATTCAATCAGGTTATTAATACCTAACCAGCAGCATTGTTAATTAAATTGAGTGAAAAATGTGTCTTAAGATTTTAGCATCTATATATCTTTTGTTGTAATAGAAACATATTTATGAAAATAATTTGAATCCATGCTTTAACTAGATAATCTTGGTAGTAACACAACACCTGAGTGGGTAATGATTGGAACATTTTTATATATTTTTTTTAACTGTGATAACTGCCAACCAGTTCATTATGGGCCATCAATCAAAAGAAACTGAAACTATTGCACTGAACATGTTATGTTTACACCCTCATTGGAATTCAAATTCTTAACAAATTGAGCAGAATCCTAGGTTTTGATAATTGGCTTTCCAGTTAGATTTTAGGACTTGGATTCCTAAGAAGGGTTAAGCTTATACAAATATATATATTTTTTAAACTCCTGACTATTGGTTTTCTCTATTAATTACTTCCTTATAGGTACTCATTTTCCACAACAATCATTTTAACTCACACAGCTGTTTTGGATCCATGAATAGTCTAGATTTTCTGATTCTTAGAGGAAATATAATTTGTTTTCAGTGTATGCTTTCCTTGGAAGATGTAAAATATAGACACATAATAAGCTCTTTGCTACTTAAAGGATTAAAAAGGAAGCCAAATGAAAATAAACCTACTGGTAGTCCGCCGTGCTGAAGAGGAGATGGAACTGTTGAGAGAGAAGGAATTCTCATCTCTGTCTCCTGATACACCTCGACGAGGAGGGAGAATGGAGGAGGGTCGGGGCAGAGAAGAGCGCTTTTCTGGGCTCTTGGTTACTCCATCCTGATTGGGGAAAAAGACATTGGGTTCTTAAGCATCTTCAGTTATACAAAGTGATTTACATTGCTCTATTTTTCCTCCTGTGCTGATAGATGAATTTCTTTTAATACAGACTACTGAATTTCATATATTTATAAGCATTTCTACTTTGAAACTTAGAAAGAGTTCATATTTGCCTAGAAGTTTTATAAAAATATATAATTCTGGAGTTAGTGCTAATAATTGATCATGAAATTCAAATTCTAAATAATAACATGGGTAAAATGAATTTACTCAAGTAATCTCCAGTGAATTAATAATTTTACTAAAAAAATTTTCATTAGCATGATAACTTGTTAATAAGAAAAGGTTGCCAAGGGGCACTGCATGCATACCAGTTAACAATGACCACTACCATATATTGTGCATTTATGTGACTAGAATTCTAAGTACTTTACATCCATTTATGATTTAATTCTTGCCACAAAATACTATCTGCATTTTATAGCCAAGAAAACAGGTTGAAGCAGTTTATGTAATTTTTTCAAGATCACCGAGTTGATAGGTAGCAGAGGCAGTATTAAATCCTGATGTGTCTGATTGAGTCCAAATGGTGTATTATATTACATATAATTTGCCATTCTTAGATGATACAACATTATATATTATTATATACTATGAGTAACATATATTTATTATATATATATTATGTGTAATATTTTATATAATACATTTTACTTTATTGGTTTGTATTTGAAATTTTACAAGATACCAAACAAATAAGTAATAAATTAATAAGGAACAGTCTACCTAGAAAGAGGTTTTTTTTTTTTACTGGTTAACTATTAATAACTATTGAGACTTTTATTTGCGTTTAAGAGGGTCTATTGTTTATATGTCAAATATTTTAGAGTTTAGTCTTTGTTTTTTATATATTTACTTAATCATGTCTTATAACCTCCGAAATTATATTCTTTTCTGAACCTTCGGTTGACCTGCTGCCTTACCTTGTTCCCTGATTCTGAGTATGGCAAACGGTCTGTGGAGCCTGCTGAGGTGGGCTGTATTGAAAACCTGTCAGAAAATGAAGCCCTTTGAGACGTACTAGGGCAAGCAGAGATGCATCTTGGGGACTTTGAGCTACCCTGTAAGGCAGGAATCTTTGACAAGGTAGAATTCTAGCCATGAAAGAAAACAAACAAAATCACAAAATAAACCAAACTATGAAGTCAAAGGAAAATAAAAAAATGTATAAACATATAAGAAATTAAATGCCTACTTTTAATAAGACCACATGATAAATGGTTATAATCAATGATAGACATGTATATTTAATGTGAGAACAAGAGATTTTCATTGAGCAACTCATTTTTAACTGGAACTCACTTAAGACTGCTCATATATGACAATATAGATAAAAATATTCTTCATGAATTCTACATATAAGGTCTGGTTAAGCCATAAGTCTCCCAATGATACCGTATTTGGAAAATGTCTTGAGAGTTGGTTGGAATTGTTCCTTTAATAAATAGAACCTTGAAGGTATATTTATAAAGAATATCTTGATCACATTTCAAGAACTTTAGAACAAGGCATATTTAAGTCCTCATAATGGAAAATACTTTCTTAAAGTTGAGAAAATGTATTTTCAGATATCTACATTGACTTCATCAGAAAATTACAGATTTTATATAAAATTAGTTCATTTTATAAGTAAAATGCCTAGTGGGGGCCAAATTTACCATAGAATTAATAACATTGTTATGCATAGACCACAATTTGTATAATGTGTTATAAATTCTAAAAATGAAAGTTAGCATTAAAGAGATTGCCCACAATCTCTTTAAACCACAGGGCTCAATTTCCAGGTGTCGATAGTCCCCAGAGAGATATTTTGCAAGTGAAAATCAATGGGTTGGATATACGGCTTTTGGAGGAAGCTTATGCTGGCATGCCACACGTCTCATGGGGGACTTTGTTAAAAATAGGAAAGGTATGATGAAGCCAAGGAGATTTTTGTCTTCAATAATTAATATGATTTAGCTGTTACAAAAATGGCAGTTGAAACTGGCAGCTTTATCTCAAGTTTTGAGATCCATAGGCACTTTAACCGGGGCAGACACAATAACAGAATGCATGTATCACTTCTTGTTTTATAGACCCAGCATCTTGAGTGGGCAGTGTGCCTGAGTTGGCCCAAGTCCTTCTTTTCTGATTGATGCTACCCACAGAATAGCAAATTTCAAAAGTGATACAGGAAAGAGAAAAATGGAATAATTGGATTACCTCAGATTAAGAGCGACAACTGGCTCAAAACAAAAACAAAACAAATACACAACAAATGAAATGAATGATTATAGGTCAGTTTCACAATAAAGATCAATTGAAAAATCAGAAAGAATTGTTATGATGGATGTCCTGAAAGTCACAGGTAAATAGGAGTTGGTCTTGGGGTTTTAGGAAATTTTTAGGGAGAAGATGAGGTTATGAGGGGAGAAAAAATTGTTAAATGAGAAAAAGTTAGAAAGACTGGTGGCCTAATCCCTCTTCTTCAGGAAGGTGAGATGGGCATTTATACGGAAAAAAACATTAGCTTTGTGTCAGAAGATGTATATGGTTTCTTTCTTAAGTGTAAGTGTTGTACACCAATTCACATTGAATTACTTAAAGACCAAGGGACTTGAAAATTTCCTAAATATTTTTCGAACAAACAAACAAACAAACAAGCAAAACAAATGAACAAAAGGGAGAGAAACGGAGAGGGAGACGGAGAGAGAGAGAAACAAGAAGCCGACTCTTAACTATAGAGAACAAACTGATGGTTACCAGAGGGGAGGTGGGTGGGAGGGATGGGTTAAATAGGTGATGGGGGTGAGGAAGTACCCTTGTCACGATGAGCACTGGGTGTTGGATAGAAGTGTGGGATCATTATATTGTACACCTGAACCTAATATTACATGGTATGTTAACTAACTGGAATTAAAAGCCAAGAAACTAAAAGTTCAAAAAAAAGATTTTCTGAAAAATGTCCATTTAAAAATGCTTTTTTAAATGGGGGAAAGCTGACTTACTTTCTATATCTGCTCCTAAAGACTTCTACCTTTCAAATAATAACAACAACTATCACTGTTTATTGAATAATTACTATGCTCTAGGCACTAGATGGTTTTGTAATTAACCATATTTAATTTTCACAACTAACTTAGGATACAGGAATTTTTATTCCTCCCTTTATTTTTGGAAAATTAAGACATAGGGAGAAAAAGATCATATAGCTAATAAATGTTCAAGACCTGGACCTGGTCTGCTCCATAACCCTGCCCTTAACCACCACAACTCACTGGTTCCCCATCAGAAATAAAAGGTAAAGAGACAGAAATCTTGAAGTTACAGTATTCTCAAGCCTGGTGTTTACCAAAGCAATACATGGATTCTATTGCTTGCCATATAATTCAGGAATATGTCTGAAAACATTATATAAAAATCAATTTTTAAAATTCACATGAAGTCCCTTAGGTTCAAAATGATATAAAAAGTTTGGCTATCATTGGAAATGAATTTCTATTTTTCACAATAAAAAATGGAAGTCTAAAATCTTACTAGTTTTTATTTATTTTTCTCAATCCCTTTATTTTTTAAATTTAAATTCAATTAACATATAGTATATTATTAGTTTCAGAGGTAGAGTTCAGTGATTCATTGGTCTTATATAACACCTAGTGCTCATTACATTACATGCCCTCCTTAATGTCTATCACCCAGTTACCCCATTCCCCCACCTCTTTCCCCTCCAGCAACCCTCAGTTTATTTCCTATTTTTAAGAGTCTCTTATGGTTTGTCTCCCTCTCTGATTTTGTCTTGTTTTATTTTTCCTTCCCTTCCCCTATGCTCCTCTGTTTTGTTTCTTAAATTCCACATATGAGTGAAATCATATATTTGTTTTTCTCTGATTGACTTATTTCACTTAGTCTAATACCTTCTAGTTCCATCCACGTTGTTGGAAATGGCAAGATTTCATTTTTCTGATAGCTGAGTAACATTTCATTGTATATATATATACCACATCTTTCTCCATTCATCTATTGATGGATGTCTGGACTCTTTCCATAGTTTGGCTATTGTGGACATTGCTGCTATAAACATTGGGGTGCAGATGCCCCTTCGGATCACTACATTTGTATCTTTGGGGTAGATTCCCAGTAGTGCAATTGTTGGGTCGTAGCGTAGCTCTATTTTCAACTTTTTGAGGAAACTCCATACTGTTTTCCAGAGTGCCTGTACCATTGGCATTAAAATCTTACTAGTTTTTAGAATGCTAAACAAAGAGTTGTGATTTACATATTATATGATGTCTAAACCCCAGAACGTTGTGATGCACTACTAGTTAATATCATTCAAACGATTTGTTGTAATTTTAGGAATTCTTTAGTAGTCCTTTTTTTTTTAAAAGATTTTATTTTGAAGTAATCTCTATTCCCAATGTGGGGCTCAAACTCACGACCCCGAGTTCAAGAATTGATCCAACTGAGCCAGCCAGGCACCACTCTTAGTAGTCTTTTAATTTTTTTTTCTTTCAATCAGAAAGGAGTAAAATACTTCATATTGGCTCTGGTTTTTTGGAAGCTTAAAAAATAATGGTTAATCAAATAAAAAGTAAAATTAAAAAAAGAAATATGAATGATTTATATACATGAAGAAGTTAAGTATCATTAATGCAACCAGATTAAAACATTTTATCTCCATAACTTGGCAAATATAGAAAAAGCATAGGAATATCTAGTAATAATAATGAACATGGGTACTCTTATATACAGCTGGGGGTACATATAAGTCAGTAGAACCTTTCTGGAGGACAACTTGACAATGTGTAGCAAAAACTTTAAAACTAAAAACTTAAAACAGTAGTTTCACTACTAGGAAATTATCCTAAGGAAAAGCATATGGATGCATCCACAGATTAAGCCAAAAATATTTCTACAGCAATATTGTTAATATGGCAATAAAAATAGTTAAAAAGTCAAATAATAGGGAGTTGATCAAGTATATCACTATAAATAAATAAAACAGAATGCAGTGTAGTCATTAAAGTGATGTACAAGAATGTTTAATGACAGGGAAATCTGTTTACTGTTTAATTAAAAAACTGATGCAGTGTTTCCATTTAAGTTATTACAGCTATAAGTGAGTAGGAAAAAATAAAGATTTTACATCACAATAGTTGACTGTAGTTTTCTTTAGGTAAAGGGATTATGATACATTTTTACTTATATTTGCTCACCCACATTGTTTAATTTTCTCATATTCTTATTTTGTAGTAACAATAATGAAATGTATTATCAAACACAGTTTAATGTTGATTATAATGATTTATCTCGATTCTATGAAAAGTAAATAAATTGAGCTCCCCTATTTTTGCCAGATTATCATGCTGTTTGTTTCCATTTTACTAAAAAGAAAAAAGGCAACCTTCATCCCAGCTCTGCCCTCACCAACTGCTATCACATGTCATTCCAGAAGACATTGAGACATGCCTGAATGCTACCAAGAATCATTCTGGGTGAGTGAATAATTTAAAATGACATTTAAGAGTAAACATCTGAAGTCTAACTTATATCTAAAGTTATTGAGACGTTGCCACCAATACCAAAAGGAACTTCAAGTGAAGAGCAAGGAAAAAATTATTTTACTCACAGAGACTTTGTCCTTTGCCTGTTTAAATACACTGGAAGCCTGAGTTGATTCACCACCTGTTGCTGTCAAAAAAAGAAGATAACAAACAACCCCAAACTTAGTGGCTTAACAACCACACAAATGCATTTTTCAATATCTTTTGGATACTCAATTGTGTCAACAGACGAATGCAAAGCAAAACTTTGCTTATTTTGAGATTCGAATTCAGTAACTGAAGAAACCTGAATAAGAACATTCTAGCATGTGGCTCCCACTATAGTGTGTGCTAATTAACATAACCCAGTGTTTACCAAAGCTTAGGTAAGCACACCAAATAATTTCCTATTGGTTACCAAGGTACCTTTAAATACTGTTACTCCACGAGCATAGATCCTTTAGAACGAAAGTCACAGAACAACCATCCAATGCTGTAGAATTTAAGAAAAGGGGGAAGTGATTGGTTTCTAGGGTTGGCATGATATTAAAGAGTGTTCAGGGAGATTCCCAAGCCCTCTTTTTGTAGCCAATGGCATACATACAGATATTTCCATATTTCATATTCCAAACTATCATGATCAGCCAACCCCTTTCCCTCTGCACCCCTTCATTTCACAATATGAATGACACACTTGTTTGACGTGAAACGCACCACATGAGAAGAAAAATAGATTGTCAAGGAAAGAAAACAAGAGTGGAATTTAGGTTCAGTAATATAGAACATGTTCTACACATGCACTGCCTGTATGAAATTATTACCACATCTGTTACTGTTGTTTTTCTTGTTGCTGTTTTATACCTCTGGCTTCAGTTTTAAACTCCACTATCTCCAGCACATTTTCTGTTGATGACTTACCTGACTTGACTTGAATATCTCTTATGATTTAAAACAATCCTTTGTGTTTTGGGAAAACCATCCCTACTTAAAAATTGTGCTTAGAAAATGAAAGGCACAAGCTTGTGTAGTTACCTCCTCAATTTTCTTTCATAAGAAGGAAAACACCGGGGGGGGGGGAGGAACTTATGCTTATAAGCACTCTGAACGAGTTTCAGAAAGGTTTCTTATGTCTCATGCAGCTCTAACACAAGTATAACTGTCTACAAGATGCTATATGCTACTTAGGACAGGCTAGTAAGATTATTCACAGATTCTGGAATGATTTTTTTTAAAAGAAGCAGTGCAAATGATGCTTTCCTAATATTTCTGTAATATTTCTTAAAATTCTGTGACATAGAGTTTGCTTCAAGCCAATGACATCCATGTTTGATATATGCTTTCTGCTCAAGTATTTAATATTTGAACAGATTAAGGGAAGATCTTAATAAGTCCAAAGATCTTAAATTTTCTTTAATGAATGACTTGAAAAGGCAATTCACTATCAGTGTGGCAAATTGAATACCAATGACATGTCAGACACTTCACCAAACCATTTGATGTTTCCTCCAAAATTCCATAATCCTGATGTTTCCTCCAAAATTCCATAATCCTGATATATTTTTCATCCTCTTATACATGATATAGGATTTTTATGCCCAAACCAAGAGAGTCTGCCTGTCCACGCATTTTTCTAACTAGAAGTAAAATTCCAAGTTTAATGCAAATGAATTAAGATGTGATATAAGAGTTGGAGATGTCATACTAATTTCTAACTGAGAAACACTCTTCAGCCTGAACTTTTACCATCAAGGTTTCTATATAATTTATGAGCCTTCCACTTTCAAATACTGCCTTAAAGATTAGTTCTTGGAGGAAAGCTCATGAGATGATTCCCCTATGAAGAACACAGATACAAAATACTTAGAATTTTATTGACTATCATAAAACCATCAATTACCTTGATTTTCTTTTTCTTACAAAGGTTAATGCTGCTCTTAATCATTAAAGCCATCAGAAAGTTTATATAAAGGCACCTTTTTTTTTACCCCTATCTAAGGGGTATGCAAAGGTAAATATTCCTTTCTTACTTAGCAATCTGATACCTAATTTTGTAGCCTGCAAGTGTGCTATCTAATGAATGCTAAAATGCTAAAATGTATTGCAAATTAAGATTATCCTAGGATAATTATACATTTAACATGAATACTTTGCACTGAAATTTAGGAATAGAGTTTGCATTATAGATATTTGTATGAGCTTTTATTGTGATTTGTAATAAGTTTTGCTCCTTCATTTCACTGCTTTTTTAAAGAGTTAAAAACAAGTATATTTGAAGAAGACAGAAAAATAAGAAGGTAGCAACATAGAAATACACCTAAGTTATAAGAAACGAAGGAGTTTTATCCGGGAATTCTGAATACTAAATTATATAGAAAAATTAGCAGTTTGAATCCAACACATTTAAGAAAATCCCAATGACAAAGTGTCAGTGAAGAGATGTAGTACAGTGAATTGAAAGCCTTGCTAATTTTGGATACAAGGAATAAAATCTGATGGGATGAGCAGGCAATTTCCTTTCCTTTTTTTTTTTCTTTCATCTGAAGCAAAGTAATTTTCCAATCACAATTTTACCCCAGATTTGCTTTTCATTTTCAGTCTTGAAATCACTACCCATTCCTGGCAAATTCATCAACATCAGTAACAGATTTGGCAGTAACCATGTAGAAAATAGGACAAATATAGTATGGGTTTAAGCATGAGAGAGATAAATAAGCAAAATAATGAGAAGGCATACCACAGTTATATTCATCATCATCGTCTAACCAAACACACAGAATGAAAAGAGGAATCCCCAGAACGTGACACTAGAGCACAATGCCAAGATAAAATCACTGCTAAGTCTGAGCATGACAAAGAAACAGATGGTCATGACCTCTTCTGCAGGGAGGGGGAAAAAAAAAGAATAATGATACAAGACACTTAATAGCGAAATTGTTCATGACTGCTAAGATTCTCGGAAGAAAAACAAAATGAAGAAGCCGCTACAGGAATGAGATAAAAAAAAAAAAAAGACATGTCTATGTTTGCCAGCCACATTGCAGAACTGAAGAGTCACCTGTGGTTTTCCGCTTAACACAGGAGAGATGAGTTGGTCTAGTATATTTGATAGCAGGTTTTAAAATGAATTTCCTGGAGGGAGAGTGGGCCTGAACCTCTGTTTTTTTAGCAAGTTCAGCCTTCTTATAAACTGCTACGAATAAAGAAAACACAAAAAAGCATACCATCAGGAGAAAATAAACAGTTGGAGCAAAACCGAACAAAATTTCATAAATATTAGTTACCACTGTTAGGAAGTTTCTTCTACAAAAGAGTAATAATGAATTCAAAAACATTTTTAAAGAAGTTATTGTGAAATGAACCTTTTTTCCTTCTCACTTCATCTCTGGAGACTGTGCTAGGTTCCTTTTTAGCTATTTTTCTTTCAGGAGTGGAAATTCTGCCTCTCCCGGTTTTAAAAGGCTTTTCTTTTCTATGTTTCTCAAGAGATGGTCTCCGAGCTTCCTTTTCAGCTTTCTCCTCTTTAGGAATAGTTTCTAACTGTTCTGTCATGATGCTCCTATCATCATCTGCGGATCAAAGCAAACCATGACAACAACAACAACAATGAAAACATTAGTAACAAATGTATACAATCCTTCATATATTTAACAAAATGCAAAATAGAGATAAAGGGACATTTAACAAGTTTAAAACGAAAAAGAAATCCATTAGGTTATTGGATTTTATTTGGAAGTAGAAAATTAAAAAAAAAAATAATGCACACCTTGAGTGTCCACCCAGAGGCTGTCAGCATCCATGATGGAGTCATCAATGGTGGTCTCGTCTTTATAATCGTCATAGGTTTCTGTCTTATATTCTGAGAGTGCAACCTCTTCTCTCTCAGGGGAAGCGGGAGCCTCCGGGGAGCCATCCTTGGGTTCCGCCTGGGCTTCGGCTGCCTCTTCTACTTCGAGCTCTTCTTCAGCGTGGGGGGACGGTCTCCTCTCCACCTCAGGCTGCTCCAGGGCTGCAAAACGCACGCTGTGGGAACCTGACTCCCCTTCATCCGTTGTGGTTTGCACCACAGTGATAAAGTCATCCTCGATGGTCACAACGGACTCGATCACTCCTTTGTGCTCACCAGGGCAGGTCTCCACAAATTCCTCCCTGACACCTGGGACGCCCAGGTCAGTAATCTGAAGGGTGTCGGAGCGGAAGAGCAGTTTATCATATTCTCCCCGGGCTTCTATCTCTTCTTCCTCACTCTGAGCCTCTGCCGGTTCAGCCCTGGTGGTTTCAGGCAATGGCTCTGCGACGTCGGAGGGCGTGACAGAGATATCTGGGGTTTCTTTGCTTTCTTCTTTCGGCTGCTGAATAAATTCCATCTGGACATCAGCTCTCTCATCTGGGACTAAATCAGCCTCTGAGACAGCAGGTGCACACGGTATCTCCACTGACAATTTGATGGCAATCTCGTCTTGAATTAGAGAGGATTCTGGGGATGTTTCCTTCTTGCCCTCATCAGCTTTCAAGGACTCCATGGTGAGGCTCTCATGCTCACCACTGGACTCGTAGGACTCTTCCTTGTCTACAGCCTCCTGGTGCACCAAGTCAGGCTTGGCTACCTTCTCCTTGATTTCTGTCTCACTGACTTTAGTGCCTTCTTTCATGTGGCCAGCCTCAACACTCATAAACGCATCTTCCTCCTGAGGTGCTCCAGATGAGGGGGGGAGATCTTGTGTCGCCTCGAGCTTAAGCTCTGTTGCCTTTCCAGCGTCTACCGCCAGCCCTGAGGCCATCTGTCCAAAGTCACTGATTTTCACATCTAATTGACCCTGGTCAGCTTTCATTGCAACAAAATCCAGTTCTGGTTCAGCTTTTTTGGATGGTTCGACCTCAGCTACTTCTGGCACTGAACTAAGACCTTTCTCAGCTTTCTCGGCTGCGGGAGGTGATGCGTCTTTTGAAACGGTCAGTTCTTTGGTGGGAGTGTGCTCGTAGGTTACTCCTAAGCCAAATGTTTCAACTTCATCACTGGCCTCTTCTGTTGCCTTGGCGTGTTCTTTTGCATCAGCATGTTCTTCACTCTTTTCCAGAACAGTATCCAGCTTATCATTAGCTTTCCTCTCCTGATCAAACTCCCTACCCAGTCCCGATTTGTCACCAGAGATATGCGGGGGTACTTCTTTCTCAGCACCGAACTCATCTTTGACTCTTCCGGCAGCTGCCAATTTTACTTCAATCAAGGACAGGTCTGTGGCTAGATCTCTTCGCATTTTATCTTCCGTGCCTTCATAAAAGGAACCACTCTCCCCTGACAAATTCTCACTGTCTTGAACGGGTGATGGGAGTGGGACTGTGTATTTATTGAACACACAGTAACCCAGGTCCTCAAGCTGACTGTCTGTTTTAACAATGACGTGGTTTTCATCGGTGACAGGGGGCAAGCCGGTACTACTCTCCTCGACCACAGTCTCTGATGGGACTGACTTCCTCCTGGCAACCTCAGCATCTGCACCCACGGAAGCTAATCTTGACCTTGTGCCTGCCAGATCTAGCATTTCGGGCAGGTCCGGGGCCATGACAGTACCATTTTTGTAGTAATCTTTGGCTAAGAAAGGTGACTCACACGAGGTCTCGACTTGAGTACTTTCCTCTCCAGCAGCTTTTCCTCCCTCTGTCTGGTCTTCCTCTTTGCTTTCTACTGGGAAACAGGGGGCTTTCTCCAGTGCAGGTGTTGTGGCTGGAAGGTAATCATCCCCTTCATCCATACTTCCACTAGTGTTGGTTAGAATATCAGAAGCCAGAGGAGAGAGATCATGTCCCCGACCAAAGTTAAATCCAAGGGCTATGGAATCCAGGCAAGACATGGGCAAATTGATTGACATGCTTCGCTGTTCTATTGCAGACCTCCCACCAAGTCCTAAACTCCTGCTTAGCGTCAAGTCATCCTTATTCTTACTGTGGAGATCCCGCTTCTCCCCATACACTTTTGGGTCAATAGTAAACATTCTTTCTTGAGGAGAACTAGGTTCTTCAGGTAAATCAGACGGATAACTCTGTGCAAGAGTGCTGTACCCTGTTTCTTGTGCTGGAGCACTGGGCTGGGGTTCTTTACCTGCCTCAAGTCCCTTGTCTCCGTTTTTACACACGGGAGATAGGGTATCAAAAGACTCTTGGACACTTTCTCTGGTGTCACTGAGTTCATAGTAATCACTGCCTGGCTGGATGCTTTTGGTCACTTCTTCTTTCAAGGCGGATGTTTCAAAATACTTGGACATTCCTGACTTATCTTCATAAAACGGCATGTCAAGCTCCACTGATGTTGCAGGCCCAACCCCTTCCATCTTAATATCTTTGTCTGCAACTTTTTCTTCAAAAAGGTCCTGGGCTGCACTCTTTTCACTTACTGCCACTGGTTCGGTCATGACTTTCTCCAGTGTCTTAGAGGTCACGGCTGAGTCTGTCACTGCTTGCTCCAAACTGACAGGGAATGAGTCCTGTTTTAATGGCTCTGTGGTTGGCTCTTGGACTTTCTGCTCTTCTTTTGAGAGGGTATGCTCCATGCAGGGCTGAATTATGCCTGTTTCTCCATCTGTCAGCTTCAGGGGCTCACTCTCTTTTGGCACGGCTTCTTTGTCAGAAATGGTTGTCTTTTCTTCAAGCTTTAGCAGAGATTCCTTTTCAGTAAGTGTCACTTCCTGCTCTTTTTTCTGTGCACTCTCTTGCTTTATTGCCCCTTTCTCCTCTCCTAAAACTTTCTCTGGGACACATTCCTCCACGGTCGGAATGTGGGCATCTTTGGGTAAGGTGAATGCCTCTAGGGCTGGCGCTTCTGCCATTTTGCCAGGTTTGTCCTTATGGGGCTCTTCAGCTTTAGAACTATCTTTGGCAGTTGCTGGGCCACTGGTTTCTTCCAGAGATTTTTTGTCATCCGGTTGTAATAGGGCAGGGGCAAAGGGTGATGCTTCTGCAACTATTTCATTCTTCATGACATCTAAAGGAAGAGTGAAGCTGCCAGCCTGAAAGGGACTGGGCATGGGAGAATCAAACTGTTTCCCCTCCCATTTGGGGATATCCTCAAGGACATCTTTTCCCTTCATGGGGGTTAGAGGGCCAGGCGAGATGGGAGCAGCTAAACCCCACTCAGCCTTTTTGGCTTCCGTTGGCATTTCGATGAACCAGTCTTTTTGCTCTTTTGGAGCTGGGGGCTCTGCAGAGAGGCCAATACCAGGCACTACGATGCTTGGTTCTGTCTTCTGTTTCGTGTCTTCTAGCCCGGCACCAACAGTATGCCCAAACAGAGTGGGAGGTGCTTTTTCTTCCTCTGGGCCTTGCATGTCCTTTTTGTCAGGGAAAATTTTAGTTGTCTCAGGCTGAGAAACGAAGGCAGCATGTTTAAGGTCTTCACCAGGCTTACTTTGTTTCTCTGACTCTTTGTCCTTCTTGTCTAAGGGCTCAGCTGGAGAGGGAGTCAAGTCCTGTTGATCATGGAACTCCATCTTCGAGGCTGGAAGTAAACCTGAAGTAATTGGGTTGATTTTTAAACAAATAATAGGCAAGTGCTTTCAGGCAGGAAGCTTAAAATTATATTTTGAAATGACAAATGAATGGTAGGGTAAGAAAACAAAACAAAACTATGGAACATGCAAGCATGCTACCCATTTAAAAATCGATATGAAAATGTCAGGACTAAGATACATTTGTACTACTGCAGAAATGGACTCCCATTGCGAATTAATGCATACAGGGATTGTGTATTTTGAATACTCTTTTCTCCTTTGTTCGGACTCTCCTAAATACCATGTAATATGTATTGTAGTAGAAAATTTCATGTGCCTTTTGCAGACAAAAATGATAAATTAAAGAATATTGAATAAGTCAGTAATATTAGGGTACAAAAATACATTAAGGGCTAAATATGAAAAACGGATGAAAGTCTCCTGAACTTTTTCACTTGTGTTCTCATTTAAAAATGAACTGGCAGGCCATGGGCAGAAGGGCAATTCATTCATAATAAGTATTATGTTAAAATCAAGTTAATTGATTTATAAATGCCAGGACCAAGTTTTTGAACATTAAGAAGTTACTGACATAATTTTTAAAGGCATCATCTGAGATTAAATTTCAGGAATATAAATAAATATTTGCTATTAACTTTAAATGATATGACAAGGTGGTTTCTATCACAAAATCAAAATTTTTAATTCCTAATCATTAGCCTTATGACAGATGTAAGAAAATCTGAATTATATTATTAATACTGGGATGTCAAATAAATAAAATCTTAAAAAAATACCGGGATGTCATGTGAATAAAAATTTTAAAAAGAGCCAATTATTATCATATCTTTCTCTCCCTGGTCATGACCTCATTTGCTGGAACACGACAGACAGTGAGGCACTAAGTAGTGGCTTTAGAGATGCTTCACAGAAATTAAATGGCTCTTTCTTTATTTTCATTTGTTCACCAACTCGAAAGGTTTCAGACTCTCACATGTGTTTTAAGGTCACAGTTATTTCATTGTGGTCATTAGGGCTACATGTAACTATCTGGAAAAGATTTGGGGAAAAATAATAAAATTCAGTCATCGCTTGAAGAGCAAGTGTATGGATCATCAATACCTTATGTATTTGTGTGTCCTGTTGTAACAATAGAAAAGAAATACTTTATGAACTTCTAATAGAGGTTAGATGAATGAAAACTCAAGAGATATGGAGATGGTCAAAGACGCTGGCTGCCATGGAGAGGAAATGATATGAGAAGCATCAGCAGGAACTTTTAAGGAAACCAAACCAGTATTCATCGAAGCATAAAAAATATAGCACATTGCGGTTGCAAACAAAAACAATTCTATCATTTAAGCCTCTATGTGCCAAAATCCAACTCTACGGTTTGAAAGAAAAGCATATGAATCGCTGTCCCAAAAATAAAAATAAAAATATACATGTATTAGCAATGTGGCTGGCAAACACTTGGAGATGGGGGGGGTGGGGCGGGCAGACAAAAAGCTCACACAGCATCGTCAGCAGGGCTGCAAAGCATATTGTATCATGGCAAAGTAAAACCAAGAATCAGCTGCAGCAGTGGAAAACCTAGCTGCCACACAGCACCTGTGCAAGCCACACTCTGCTCATTAAACCTACAACATCAGTCTCAGGATCATGAGAAGACCAAGCCATGGAATAGCATTGGAAAGGCATCAGGTCCGTAAGCTGCTGGAGAGATCATTTGCAACAAAACACATGCAAATCCTAGGAAAGACACACCTTCCCTGGCAGAGGAAGGGATTGTTACTTCTGGAGACACCTCGGTGACCTCTTTTACACTTTTCTCCTGCAGGGCCCCTGCTGGGGCACTCTCTTCAAGAGCTATGTGGGCCTCCGCACTAGACTCCGCGTGGCCCTCACTGAGGCCCTGGGGTTGGTCTGAGGCCTTGGCAGCCCCGCACTCTTTCCCAGGAAGAGTGGCAGGTGTCTCTTCCTCAGCCACTGTTCCCTCTAGCGTTTCTTCTTCTTAGGGACGAAAAAGATGTTGACATCATGACCACAGAATACACACAATGGCAGAAATATTACTCATGGAACACTTTCAGCTCCATTACATCAACCTCACCAGAACCTTACTTTACCGTTTGGATGAGCAGATTAATATTCGAATGCAACGTGCATTATGTATTGCTTGGGCAATGATTATATATATATAATCTGCTAATAATGATGCCTTTTAAAGTCTCGTTAAAAGGCTATTTATTTGAAAACTTGAGAGCTGAAAGGGTTTTATTGCTCTATTCCCCTTAGTGGAAATGGCAGTAAGTTGCACACATGTAGGAAGCTTGCTGGAAATAAGAGATGGTGCTTTTGGATAACAGATGGTTATGAAAAGACAGATGCATTGATGGACTGAAAAAAATCTTTACGTTTGCTGGACATGGGCTGTTTTCTCCAATGCAGTAAGTCCCTACATACGAATTTCTGATTATTTTATTAAACACATGCAAACTTCAGTAAAGAATCTTGGGGAATAAAAAACACCCGGCCTCAACATAATAACCATCAACTATCCTAACAGCTTTATCATGGAATCCATCAACACTATCTTATTTAGTATGTAAAGGCCAAAGTCTCAAGTATTTAAAGTATTAAATTATATTTTAATATAATTTATGCAATATTTTTAAGGCAAAAGACTTCCTAACTCAATTTATTTTACCTTCATTGCATTATATGATATGGGAGAATGTAAAAAATTTCAAGGAGTAAGCAAACTATTTTGAGAAGCAAGGTCCAGGTAAAATGGAATCTTAGCATTTAGAAAAGTCCACCTTGGGGATACAATTGTTACCATATTGCTTACACCCTTGTAATACCAATAATGTAGTTCATGTATAGTTGCCCTTGATCCTGAATAAGACAATGTGCACATTACCTGTAAAGTCTTGTTTCTGCAATTCAAAACCAAACCACCAACATAACTGAACGACAATCAAACTGCCAAAATATCTTCCCAAAAGATGTATATCACATGGAAAAATGTTTGCAATTAAAATGTAAAAAGCACACCTATGAAGGCCATGATTTATTGTGTTCATTTGCTTCTCATTTGCACTTTCAAATGCCGGTAAAATGAATCCCATTTTATTGCTTAAGAAATTAGAGGGGAAATATAAGCTGTTTTATAGTTCTACAAATGAAAGATTCGGATGAAATTCTTATGAAACATTGTTAAATGGCCCAGTGAGAAAGACTACAGATGGAAAGGAAAGGAATTTTCTTTTTTTTTGAGAAATATTACAACCCCTGGGCAGGGGGTGGGGGAGGGGAGAACTACTTCATCTATTTCTCCCATTTAGCACTCAGGGACTTTCATTTTTGTCATTTAATTATGTAAGCAACATTTAAAAAATTCAGATTCCAAATTATTATCAAGGCCATTTTTATAATGTCATAGAATTAGAGATTTTGATTACAGATAAGAGACTTTTACTATAGTTGCTTTATTAATGTCACCTTCTTGGTAAAGTCTAATCAATTTAATCAACATGTTTTCCAAATCCACACAAACTTTCGGCTTTCCATTTCCTCATTTTGTATAAATCATGTCTATTTCCATTATACCTGTTTCTCACTCGAAATTTCCCATATTTCTCTTAATTGTTCTAAGTTCACACTCTTAGAACTTACTTTTACTCCATATGGGTTATATTTCTCTATTAGAACGTCTGAGCCATTGGCGCTCTTTGTTTTCCAATGGACACTAGAATAAGTTTATTATCACGAATGTAGTTGGTAAACTCTGAGTTTCTTCCCCATTGCCTTGGCACTATCTGCCCTTTCATTAAATACTGTCCCGTATGGAAATAAACTCTTCATGCACACAAGTCATTTTTCCCTATTTGAGAATAAGTTCTTCACCTACACAAAACGTATTTTAGCTCTAATTTTGTTTTCCTTTACAAAACTACCTAGTTAGAATGAGATAAATTTCAGCCCACCGCCCTCATCATGGCCAGTTATACACTAGGGTTGGCTAGCTTTATGAGGGTGGAATGACAAAGGCTTTGGATCATTTCCTTCACTTTAGCCCAGGTCTGCTCATGTGAGCCAATATTTAGTCACTTAGGGGGAGCCTCTGTAATTTCTGTAGATGATTAAATGATTTGGAGAAATACGTTCCTTCTGTAACATGTGTTCTGCCCTATACAGATTCATGTTTTTCTCTTTTAAGGAGCTACCGTATTGACACGGCACTAAAAAGAAGGCTAATTCTATTTAAGTCTGGTCCTAGTAATAGTCTATATATCCAAGGAGGAAAAAAAATTATATACAGGGTCCTCTTATTCAGTTTGAGTAGAGGATGTATTCTTCCCCCTCTGATTTATTTACAGGGAGCAGAAAGGAGGCATACTTTAACTGAACTTTTTTGCTCCCTCCCCCCACTCCCACCCCTTTTTTGGCTTTCTTTTCAGAAGCAATGATACAGAAAAAGAAAATACACCTATGCCCCAAATAAGGCTTCTTGTAGATAAGGTGTTTGGCTAGACATATAAACCATATAGGGAGTTCACTTTCATATGGAAAAAACAGGCTCCTTTCCCTCCCACCCCACATCTGAAGGTACAGTCAGAATGATGCATGTGGTCAAAGCTGCAGGCTGGGGGGAGGAGCAAAAGGGGACCATGCTTGGTTTACCTTTCTCCTGACCTAAGTGGGCCTCTGCACTCTGCGCTGGGACACTGGGGAGCACACTAGAGGTAGTCCATTGTGAGTGGAACAAAGGATGCTCATAGTACTCCTCATCGGAATTGGAAGGGTCATCATCAGGCACAGACACCGAGATGGAGGGGGCTAGGAGTCTATGCCTCTCCCCGCCCGTGGCATGTTCGTGGCTGGGGAACCTGTGTAGAGGACCCACTTGATCCTCAGCCCCTTCATCTACAAACAGACACACAGGAAGAAACTGCAGGGAGAACTGGACAAGACAGACACAAGATCACCTGGACGAGACAAACACCTGCACAAG